TATCTGCAGCAGCCAGCAGCTGAGTCCCAGCTGAGGCGGCGTACATACCATTCCAACCCCGAAAATGCAATATGATTGTGATATTACAGAGTCAGATCGCGAAAAGAAAGTACTAGTACTACTGAGGTCATGAAAACAGTGTCTATTATGTTCTGTACTACAATGTTACTGTGAAACGGTTTCTTTAATTCACGACTCGTTATGCTGTACTTTGAGCAGAATTATATGGCGAATTTCGTGTTACAGAGTTCGTTTAAGCTTCCATATGTATAGCTAATTAAAGTTGAATAAGTATGTCAATGAAATATATATGGTTATTATCTTCTTTTTTTTCAACAATCAGGAATTAATTGTAATGAATTGTGACCATCAGCCGCATGAATCAGGACAGAGCTTGCATACCCGTCTGAGCATGGCTCGAGCAGCATGATTAATGAGATTGAAGGTCCTGAACTCCTGGTTAAAGCTAGAAAGAGTAAAATTGTTGTGTGATACGAATGAAAAATAATTTGTAGGAATTTTATTTAGTTTAATTATGACGTAGTCCAAGATCAAAATTTTACTTTGCTATATAAGAAACTTCTTTAGAATGGTATGTGTCCAACTTTGCCTTGCTTATTCTGCTATGTAAAAATCTTATTTTGCTGTAGTTACTACATTTCTTTTTCGATTTGTAAGTTCTATTCAAATTGTATTCTCGGTTCGAATATTATTATTTTGTTCGAATGATTAATATTTATACATTATTTATTAATAAATTTACGTATTTTCTACTTTAAAAAAATTAAAATGTCAAAATATTTATAGTAAAAGATGCGGTGCCTATTCATGCCATCTAGTTGGTCAACATTTATTTTTCTTTCAAAATTTTGGATATATTTTTATTTTTTATAACTAATACTAACTATCTGATTAAAATATAAATAGTTACTTACAGCATTGTTTTTCCAGTAACAAACATGTCCTTTAGATTTATTACCCATTATATTATTTCTGTTATTAATTAAATAAAAATAAAAGATCTGTTAAGTTTTTGTGATTTTCTTTGATTTTTCAGTATCTAAGTGCTTTAATTTCTTCATCAACCCTAATATTTTTAAATTACAGAAATTAAATTAAAACCATGGCAAGATCAAAATACAGGGGTGAAATTATGATTTGCGTTTGTATATAATACATTGGCATTACGTATGGGCTGACGAGGAATTCTAGGGTTGATGCGAGGATCAACCCATTTGCTAGAAATGATAGGCCCAACTACTCGGACTTTGTACGTGGTTATATAATATATATATATATATGTATATGTTTTAATATTCAGACGCGTCCTTCACGTCTTCTTTTACCGAAGAGAGAGACGAGAGCAGCCAGCTGAGAAAAGGGTTTTTGTACCGTCTCCGTTTTCTATTGGGGAAAACTGAGAACACTCGAAGTTGAAGGAAATAGAAAGGTAAAGGGCCTTTACCTTCTGCTTAACGTATGCTTCTATCTCTTTCTCTTTTATACTTTCTGAAACACGATCAATTTCTAAGGAAACCGATTGACATTATTTGTCCACTGCTTTTTTTTTTTGTTTATATGTTGGTTATTGTCGTACGGAGAAACAAGCTTTGGAAATTATCTGTGATTCTGATGTCTGATATTCTCTGTAAGAAGCTAGGGTTTTATATTGGCGAGTACTATTAGTTTATATATTTTCAAATTTCTTTTTGCTGGACATAAAGCATTTTTTGAGGTTTTCTTATATCATATACGTATACGTAAGTATATATATCTACTTATATTTATATAGGTACATTGTTGATGTTCTGCAGGCTGATTTTTTTATAAAAATGGCGAGTGAAAACCCTAACGTCGAAATTGTGGTTAAAGAGAATGGAAGTGCAGAACTTTCGGGTGGCAAAGAAGAAATGGAAACGTCTGATCTCTCAAAGGCTTTAGAGTCTTTGGTTGGCAATGAAGTAGGGAAGGATGAAGATGAAAGGGAGAGCAAAGGTGGTTTTTCCTAGATAATTCATCTTTTTAGGCCTTTTTTTTCCTCATGTAATCTTCGTTTTGCCTACTGTGCGTAAATGGCTAATGTAATGAGATCGGAGTATTTGCTAATTGCGCCTTTCTGTTCATTGGATATATTTTTCTTCTTTTTCCAGCAGAGGCTTCAAAGAAGAAAAAGAAGAAAAGCAAAAGCAGGTGAGGCTTCTTTTCAAGCATAAGTTATCCTTTCGTATTGAATGCTTTTACTTGTAGGTTTTGATCTTGTTTCCTTTGTAACTCACAGGAAAAAGAAGGAAGTGCCTCAGCAGACTGATCCACCGTCCGTTCCAATTGCAGAACTTTTTCCATCTGGAGAATTTCCTGAAGGTGAAATTCAGCAGTACAAAGACGAGTGAGTCTAAGTTCGCTTTCCCTTGTTCTACTGGATTGTAAAGAATTTTGTTCAGTTGAATGTTTCTATTAGTCTTTTCATGCTTCAGTTTGCAGATTTTACAGCCTGACACCTTTAACTTTCTATTATACATTAGCTGTGGAAAGAGCGTAATAGTGTTGTCTGGTTTTTATTGATGGTACTGGTGTATTAGTTTGGTATCTTCTGAAAACAGTTATTGGTATTTTTGGTAAAAGAAGTAAGGGTAATTTGGTATATAGAGGGGTATCGTTTGTCTACGAGAAATCAAGGGTAAGCCGGTTAGTAATAATTTCAGTTTCTGGGCCCCACTGGCCATGTCAACAACAGCGTACAAAAGCCCGAATATATGGTAATTTATATTCTTTGTATCTAAAAATGGTTTGAAACTTGATTTTGGTAAATCAGTAATTTATGGAGGACCACATCTGAAGAGAAGAGGGAGTTGGAGCGTCTAGAAAAACCAATATATAATTCAGTTCGACAAGCAGCAGAAGTCCATCGTCAGGTTGCTATCTATTCTTATATGTGCAGTAGCACATGCGAATTTTGACCTCTGATGTTTGTTGTTGGTTTTTTGCGTTCACTTGAGCCGCTGTTCAATTGTTGTTAGGTTCGGAAATATATCAAAAGCATTCTGAGGCCTGGAATGTTAATGACTGATCTTTGTGAGACATTAGAGAACACTGTTCGGAAGCTAATAGCAGAGAATGGCCTCCAAGCAGGCATTGCATTTCCTACTGGATGCTCTTGCAACTGGTAAATTTCAACCCTTGCAGTTGATCCTTTTGTTTCTTAACGAAAGAAAAAGATTATATTTTGGATGTCATTTTATCCTTACTTCTAGTATTTTGCATTGTTAGGATTGCTGCTCATTGGACACCAAATACAGGAGACAAAACTGTGCTTCAGTATGATGATGTAATGAAGGTGGATTTTGGAACACATATTGATGGTACTATCATGTTTCAGCCATTCTATATTGTGTTTATTGCTTCTGTTTGTGGTAATCATTATTTGTTCTCTAGCTGTGTATATGTTTTTTTATAGAAGTATTTGCTGGGATTGCAGGACATATAATTGACTGTGCATTTACGGTTGCATTCAATCCTATGTTTGATCCTTTGCTAGAAGCTTCACGTGAAGCAACTAATACTGGTATCAAGGTGCTGGACTTCCTTCTATTTCTCATAATTATATCTCACAAGATATAATGTTGAAGCTGGCTTTAGTTGTACTCGATTTTGATAATTTCCTTTCATGTTTATCACCTTCCATGGATTTAAGTTTGATTCACTGACTAGCGTTAAGCTAGCATTCAGTGGAGAACAACCTGAAGAAAACATTTGAGAATCTTTTCATGGAAACTATTCTATTTCTCCTTTGATGGTTAATGTCTTTGCCAATTAGGGAGGCCACTTCCCCTTTTTCACTTTTTCCGTCGTGTAATGCCTTTACTGTCCATACCACCCACTGGATCTAGTTGAATAACATGCAGATCATGCATACGTTTCTACTCTGGCATGTGGTTGAACATTGAAGTCCAATATGTTTGCTTCAAATGAGATAAACTGATTTCACAGTGGTCTAGACCACAGAAGATCATGCAATTAATGGTGCTTAATTTTTTAGGAAGCTGGCATTGATGTTCGTCTTTGTGATGTTGGTGCTGCAATCCAAGAGGTCATGGAATCATATGAGGTTGAAATAAATGGAAAGGTGTACCAAGGTACGATATCTACGTTTAAATTGGAATTTCCTTTGGATTTTGTCTGATATTGCCTTCTAGAATCAGTTTCCAAATATATGGGGTTCCTCACTTTCCATATTTTTCAGTGAATCATTTGTCACTTTGTCAAAAAATCCAATTAGGACTTCCGATCTTGAACAAATAATTCCCAAGTATTTGACATCCTTAAGAACATAATCTATTGTCTTTTTTTGGAATGATGCAATTAAAAGTCCAGATGTGGGAAGTTGCTGCTATGAGTTTGGAAAGATTGTTTGGCATTTTGTCAGAACATTAAATGGGAAATATTAATCTCATAATGTTGACATCTACCTTATCTTAAATTATCCTAATTTATCTTTTTATTAGTGGGAAAGTTAAAATTTATTTTTGATCAATTGATTTAGTGGTTTAAGTATCCTAGCTAAAATTGAATGCATGAGAATGTTGTCATTTAAGTACTTCATAAAATATAGATGTGACGAAAAGCAGTTTATGTAGCTGAAATTAAATTGTTAAAGATTTATATACTAGATTTAGTGTTGTCCTTATGCTCTTTGTTACTTGTCATGTTGATATAATGTTGAATATATATTTTGTGTACGGCTGGCATCATCCCCTTAGTTCTTTATTAATATTCTTTTACATCTTAATATATTTATATATATGTGCATACATATATTATGCTGAATACATTTGAAAGTTCTTTTTATACCTAATAATCCCTCAGTTTTTATCTAGTTAAAATTTGAAGTGGTGTAACTGCTTCTAATAATAATGGTACGGATGACATATATTTGGTAGTTATTCTAGCCCTTACTAATGAGGATGAGGTGTTTATTCTTAGTTTTACATCTTTATCTGTTGTTGTTTGAAGGAAATATTTTATTAATGGTGTTGAACCAATTGTGTAAGTCATCACACTTGGTTCTTTGAGTAAACTAATAAAAGAGTAACGGGACCAATTTGATGGTCAACGAACCAATTTGAATATCCCCAAACGAACCAATTTGAATATCCTGAAATAATCAAGGGTCCGTTCACGTTTTGTAGCTTTTGATTTACCATTGTCATATTCATACTTGATCCTTGGTAAGATAAAAATATAATGTAATTTATCAATTACATATTTTGGTATCAGCTTAGCATTTTTGTTCAGTTGCTAGGCTAGATTTCTGTTTGATTTGATTATTCTGTTCATACATTACATGGTGGGTTTAAATATCATTGGCAGTTAAAAGTATCCGAAACTTGAATGGACACAGCATTGGGCAATACCAAATTCATGCTGGTAAATCTGTTCCTATTGTCAAAGGAGGGGAGCACACTAAAATGGAAGAGGGTGAATTTTATGCAATTGAAACTTTTGGATCTACAGGTAATGACTCTTCCTCATTGTTGCATAAGTGATGACACTTAATATGTGCTGTGGCCTTCCACTTGGAAAAAATATGTGAAATGTTGAGCATTCTTAATCTGCAATCTGTTGCAGGGAAAGGATATGTAAGAGAAGATCTGGAGTGCAGCCATTACATGAAAAGTTTTGATGTTGGTCATGTCCCTTTGAGATTGCCCAGAGCAAAGCAACTTCTGGCAACAATTAACAAGAATTTCTCGACATTGGCCTTCTGCAGACGGTACTTAGACCGCCTCGGTGAGACTAAATATCTAATGGCATTGAAGAACTTGTGTGATGCTGGCATCATTCAGGTATTTGTCAAGAATTTACTTTTACTGTTAAGTTTTTTATCTAATTTGTATTGTATTTCTCATGCAAGCTATACTTTCTTTCGCCCTACAAGGTATATAGCATGTTATTGAATGGGAAATTGCTTTTTAATTTTTGAGCTAAATTTGTTTAGTTCTTACTCATTTATATTTCAAATTAATTTTTGGAAAGAAATGGACCCACCATAAGGGAACTGAGGATTCTAGAATGATAAATGTTTGTTTTTTTAAATGGAATTGCAATGTGGAGTTCTACTATTTAGATTCTGAATCTAGTTTTGAACCTATGCTTGAGACATCTTATGGCAATTACGGTTTCAATTCCACATATCATGTGAGTTCTACTATTTAGAATATAAATCTAGTTTTGAATCCTATGCTCGAGATGTCTTATGGGAATTACAAATTCAATCCCACACATCATGCGCACTGGAAGAGTTATAGATCTTTGATTTTCTTGTGTGTGTCAATCTGATGATAGGAAAAAAAGATTGAGTTTGATTCAAATCTACAAGTACATCATGTGAAATTGGTTTAATTGTATTAAACATGTAGATTACAACTAATTGAAAATTTAAAATGTAGAAATTAAATAAGAACAGAATAAACTTGAACAAATTGAGTAGAGAAATATCTTCATCTAATAACACCTTTTGTTTCTTTGTTCTCGGCAGCCTTGCCCTCCTTTATGCGACGTTAAGGGCAGTTATGTATCCCAATTTGAGCATACTATCTTACTGCGGCCTACATGCAAGGAGGTGCTGTCCAGAGGTGAAGATTATTGAACCGTGTATGATGAAATTTTGTCCATCACCTATCAGTATTTATATCTGGACAGTCGTTGGCTGAAACTTTTTTTGCAGTTTGCCTTCTGTCGTTGTATTTTGAACTATTTGATGAATATATGGAGAGAGCATGTAATAGTAAATTGTTTTATACTTAAAACAGAATGACAACAACAATAATGGTATTTAGGTTGAAATTAACCCTCTGGGGTTGTCTATGTTTTACTGTGTATATCTATACTGAGATTTGGTAGGGGCAAAGGTAATCATCCAATGTCCTTGTGCAAGGTCAGTTACAGCCTTGAGAAATTGGATCAATGTTATTTTTGTGCTGAAGAAGCAAGCACTCTTTCGAATTGTGGGGGAAGATCTTTGGAGCAAGAAGGGGTTGATCTGTATCATTCGTGACTTTGGTGAACTGGACACGAGACTTTTTTTTATCTCATTCATCTCCTCGCAAATGAAACGGTAGAAGAGGTATGCCCAGCGCACGGAGGATCCGTTGAGAGTTTCAGTTGTCTCGGTAGGGAACTGTACGATCCTTTCCCCTATTGTCTTGAATCAATAAAAAAAATAGGTCAGTGCTCCGGCCCCCTTATTCTTTGATCCAATATTGACCGGGGACGAGCCATAGGTCCTCGGTTTTAATAAAGCAGAGCGGGGCTAATATTTTGTACTTGCTCCGTGTGCCACCCTTTTGTCGAGTGCCCACTGGGCTGTTGGCCTACCAAGTACTTGCCTGGTGCTCCCACCACCCGCTTGACAGGCTCCGCGCTCGTTATCCTTACTGTTTTTTCTGCCGGGGTCCCTCCCATTGCTTTAGCCATAAGCTATGGCAGCTCCGGCTCGCAACCACAGGGGCCCGCCCTGCGAGGCCAGAGTGGGTTCAGCAGTCAGCCTCCATTCGAATTACGTTAGGTTTATCCAGATTGTGCTTGAAGTTATTGGATTACAGGCATTTTATTAGGATCTATGGTAACTCTCATTTTACTTTAGAAATTAAAATTTGATTTTTGTCTAGTATAAAATTATTATGTATTATATTTATATTAGAAAATTAGTAATTAATTAGAGAACCATCTACATTAAACACAAAATCACATTAACAATAGTAGATAAGTAAACAAAAAAAAAAGTTAAATTACAACATAAAATAATTTGGCCGGAAAAAAAAAATTCATAATTTATAATTAAAATTTAAAGGCTTACAGATCTCATATTCTAAATTTATATATGCCTTTCAGCTAAATTTTAAATATTTTAAATTTAAATTAAATTCTCAAGTTATGTTATTTTCTACTCATATTTAATTTAGTTTATTATTAAATTAAATCTCAATTAATTGTGAATTTTTGTTTTTGTTTAATTTTAAATTCTATTTTTATATGTATATATTTTTCCTTTTTTTTTTTTTTTTTAACAATTCAAAACACGTGAACTTTCGTACCCAATCCATAGACCGTCAGTCCTTGGACGGCGAATAGTCCGTATAGTGCGCAGCTACTGAGAGTATTCATGGCCGCCGCCGCTGCCGTAGCGGGTTTCAAGGTCGTCGGCGGCACGATTTCATGCGTACAATGGAGTCCTATCT